AAACTCACTAGACAGCCACCCTAGCCAAATCCACGGGCTTGAGATTCAGTGAGAGACTCAGTCTCGAAAAAATAAACGTCGAGAGCAATGGAGGAAAGACACCCAATGTCAACCTCTGGCCTCCACATACACCAACACACACACACACACACACACACACACACACACGTGTACGCAGGCAAGTCTATGTGACTGAGACAGGCTGTAGGTGTAGCTTCACAGCAAAGCTAGCATATGTGAGGCCCTGGGCTCGACTGCCATCCCTGAAGAAGAGAAAATGTTCAGCGACTTGTGGGAAGTGGCATGGCTACAAGGCAGCAGGCTCGGCACTCAACCCTCAGGTTGCTTTGAATTCCAATTCTCTCCTCCCACTTAGGCACCCTCTATCCCAGCTTCGGGTTCCCAGCAAACTTGATAGGGTTTACTTCTCTGAACGCTGAATCAATGGTGTGAAGAAGCTAAGGTGAACTGAGAGCCCTGAGGCGGGCTACCAGTGCCCTGATACCCCAGCTGTGAGTCTAGACCCTGGGACTTCAGCAATGCAGGTCCACTCCACTGGAAGCCACCTGCCACCAGCCCCAGTCCCAGACACTCTTCCTTGTCTAAATTATATACCTAGACCCTACCGCCAAGTCCTCCATGAAGAAGCCAAGCTCTGCCTGGCCCTTGCCTTCATCATAATTAACCTGCTTCTGCTAGTCCCCCTATTTAGGACCCTCATTTCCAGAAAGGAACCCTGAAGCCCAAGGACAAGGACAGGGCCATTAAGGACTTCTCAGGCTCAGAGCATCTCCCCCAGCATTCTCCCCCTTGGCACCATCTGCTTCTGGTGGCTCAGCCCATCTTTATCACTCAGCTCTTCTACCACTATTTTGCTGAGGGAGACTTACTTCCGTGCAAACCGGTGCACCAGCCTTATCAGAAAACAAGGCAGGCAGGAAAAAATGAACTGCTTGGTGAGGGAAGAGGCTACCCAATAAACTCCAACCTTTCATTCAGGTCCCAAAGATGCAGGGACACCACAGCTCACCACAGGATATGGGCGTACCACTTCACAAGCATCCACCCTTTTCACAACTCTATGAGGCTGCAACTATTACCACTGTACCCATTTTACAAGTGAGCCCGGCAACTGGGATCCAGAGCAGCACACTGCCTCTGCTAAGACTGTATCCTGAAAACAAATCAGGGGCTTTCAGAATCCTAAAAGAATGACAGAATGCCAATCAGAGGTAAAAGGACCAAAGACTCTCTGGACAGTGTTTGAAAGCCTCCAGTTTAGATTTTTGTCTCTAAGGTGCATCCACTGAACATGAAGCTATCAGGTTCCTACCATGAAGCCAAACAGCAACATGTCTGGCAGAGCCAGGCCCTGCCTTCACGACCTTACTGTCCACAGGAAGAGGATAGGTGCCAAGCAAGCGCATGACTTCAGACAGCAGTGAATGCTATAAAGCACACAATGCAGCACAGAGAAAGATGGAGTTGGGGCGCTGTTCTAGCCAGCCGTGGTCTGGGAAGGCCTCTCTCTGAGGAGCTGACATTTGAGAGGCTGAGTTAGGAGCTAGCCTCAGAAACAATGAGTATAAAGACACTGAGAAGGAATGAGTGAGGGGCTGTGCCAAATCCATCCACCCCCACTGTGGATGGCATCCCAGAGAGAAAGCCTGGGCTCTGATCTGAGACCTCAGGGAGGAAGGAAGCACATAGGAAGGTGTTCCTAGGGCGCCTGACACCTGGGTCCATAGGCTCCCGTTCCCGTCATGGATCTGTGAACACCTGGGTCCATAGGCTCCCGTTCCCGTCATGGATCTGTGAACACCTGCCCCCAAACAATGTTGCATCCTCTCTTCATCCCCTTCCAGCTCCAACACCCATTCCTGCACAAGGCCCAGCCCAGGTGCTGGACACACAGTTGTTGAACGAATACATTCCTGAAGGCCAGCAAGGTGGAGGTGTGAGGCCAAGTCCCGGATGAGCCTACCTTCCTCTGTAAGGAATGGCTTCATGGAGCTTGTGGCCCCCATGGGTAGCAGAAGAAGAGAAGACAAAGGGATTCCAGAAGGTGGGAGGAGGGGTCGCCTACACAATTGGAAATTTTTCACACAAAAAGTCCAGATTTCAAGCTATTTTTAAAATATCTGAAGATCTGGCAACCCAAAGCCTGCATATCCCCATGGCAACACCAGCTGGTGCTGAGCAGCCGCTGCCCCCTTCAGACTGGACGTGTGCTCTGCAGCTCCCCTCAGACCACCCCCAACACACACACACAGACACACATGCGCACACTGTTGCTGACACCTGGCCCACCCAGCTCATTCACATCCCCCTGCTCCTCAGCACTGAAGTCTGTCAACCCTGGTTTAAGACACTTGGTGAACTGAAAGGTGTGCTGAGAACACTGAAACCATGGCATCAGCCCACGACGCACCCCAGTCTGGGAGCCCCTCACTCATGCTCTCCTTGCTGTCCTGGTTATGTTTGTTTAATTTCGGTTTTGCTTTCTGTTGGTTTGTTGCTGTTATTGTCATCTGAGCTGTAGTTATCTGTGTTGTTTTTGTTCTTGTGATTTTTGAGACAGCATCTCATTATGTGGTTCAGGTTGGCCTTAAACTCACAACCCTCCTGCCTCATCCTCCCAAGTGCTGAGCTTACAAAGTGTGCATCACCCAGCTTCTCTCCCTCCTCTCCCTCCACTAGGTAGGGTACTTGCCCTTTGTGAGGGGGAGCCCCGCCGCCCACCCTGTGCTGGGCTCCTCCAAAATAGTCACTATCTTCAGTCAAGAAGTGCAGTTTGTGATGCAAACCAGAAGGCGGCAACTCTCCCTGCCATTCCTTTGCCACTGCCCATGAAGAGCCATTCTGGGTCTTGCTCAGTTGCCAGGATCCCTAAGTTCCATATGTTTGACTCTGAGGCTTTATATACTTTATATAAAATCCCAACAATCTGATGGCCCCATTTTACAGGTAAGAAAATTGAGGCCTAAAGAAGTGACTATCACTTCTATCCAGGTAGCAAAACGTAGAGTCAATATTTACATCCGGCCCTAAAGAATCTCCTTCCCTAAACTGCCTCATTCCGAGGAAGGGTCCATGGAGGGGGAAGGAGGGATTGGGCTTTGACAGCACAGGACATCTTTTTACTTGGGTCCAGCATGAAGACACCCAACATAGACCACCTATTTTCTTGGAGCTGGCCCAGGACAAGGACTGAACTTTGGGTCTCTAATAAGTTAGTGATTAAGCCCGGGCCTGAGAGGCCAGTTGCAGCCACTACAGAAATATAGCTACAGGCCCTTAGGAGTTCGGTCTCAACATCCTCACCTAGAGACATTCTAAGAAGCAGGACAAAGGGGCACGCATGCTAAGCTTTTGCCTTGAACCCTTGAGAGAGTAGAGAACAGGTAAGCAGCTACCTAGAAATATAAAGGGTGAGAGACCCATACACAGCAAGCTTGGGCCCCACCTAGTTTGACTCAGTCAACTCCTAATGCCTCGTAGGCTACAAGCTGTAGAAGCTTCCCTGATCCCATTCCCAAAGGACAAAGAAGCTCAGGGGATTGTCAGCTACTTTGAGACTGTCACAGAGATGTCCTGACCCCTGAGACCAAGGCAGCCCCCTGAGTAGGAACAAAGGTTCTACCCAAACTAATTCATCCATTTTACCTCCTGTTACCCCAACCACCCTGCACTCATAGCCCTACCTGTTGAGCTCACTCTATCTAACCATCAAACCTGGTGTTAATGTAGCCTTCTCCAGAAAACCCATTTCTAGCCATTTTTCTAGCCTGGCTTTCTCCTTTGGCATTGAGATCAGTCTCCTTTGTGTTACAATTTTTTTTTTTTTTTCTGAACTGTTGTCTGCTCAGAAAAGCATACCGCAGGAAGGTGTGGGCCAGGCACCACCACATGGGGCCTCAGATATACAAGCCCATGATGGGTATTGGATGGATGCATGGATGGATTGATCAATGTAAGGGTAGCAGGAGAATGTGTGGCCAGCAGAAAATTCAGTGAGCCCCCTACTTGCCCTTGCTCAAGATTCTCCTGGTCAGCAGCTCTCCTGCCTCTGAGAATTAGGAAGGTAACAAAGAAGCCAGAGATCCAGCCTGTGCTTCTCCTTGGACCGCAACTCCCCACAAATAAGGTAAGAACATGGGATTTGATGATTTCTTAAGCCGTTCTTGGTCAAATCACACACCCCTGCTAAGACCTGACAGAGAACAGTGAAAACAACCAGATTTAGCTTAAAGGAGACTAGCGAAGAGTTAAGATAAACATGAAAAGAAGGAAGAGAGAGAAAGGGGGTAGTAAAGGAAAGAGAGAGAAAAAATGGATTTCCATATCCCAAATTAAAAATGCATTCAGCATGTAAAATTTCTCAAGTACATAATTTCCTTTTTTAAAAAAAGAAAAACCTAATTTGAATGCATTGCATTTGGGATCACAGCAGAGCAGCCTGGGACAGAGATGCCAGGGGAGGGCGAATGAGGAAGATGATGGAAGGGGGTGCTCAGTTTGTCTGCCTTCACACTCGTCCACTTTAGCCATTGCACTAAGGCTCTCTGCTTTATGCAGAGACCTTGTGAACCCAATATACCATTAAATAAAAAGTTTCTGGTATTGTTGTTCAAAACCACTTAACTAATGAGAGAAACAAGAGGCCCAAGAAGAGGTGATTTTCTCCAAGGTCATACAAGTGTATCACACGATCCCCAATAGCCTTGATGCAGGTATCAAGAACCAGTCACATCCGCTGGGGGCTGGAGGTACTGCCCGGATACAGCGGCCCCTCACTGGGCAGTTGGGATATGTGTACTCTGGCTCGACCCCAGCAGCCTCAGGGAAGTCACCAGGCGCCTTTGAACAACATTCCACTAGGACAAGAACAGACGGACAGCCCAGGCCAATTAGGAACCAGAAAATATCTAAGAGGGCGAACACCCAGAACAGGGGGGCTAGAGGTGGCAGCCCAACTTGCTACAAACCTCACAGTCGAAAACCTTCCTAAAACAACCCCTTGGCTGCCTTGGAGCATAATTTAATCTTCCTTTGATGACTCCGGATCTCACCCTGCCTCAGGCCAACCCTGCCTCAGGCCACTCAGCGGAGAACATCAATAACTGCTGAGCCCAGGTGGTAAGCGGAGAGGAGGGGCTGGACCAGGGTTTACCAGCTAACCCTGCTCTGCAGTAGAGGGGGGAAGATCTGGCAGGCACTTCAGCAGGAGCCCAGCCTGATCTTGGGGGCTGGATGCCACCTTGGTGGAGAAGTGGACCCAGGAAGAGAATGGGAGACCTTTCACCAGACAAAACAGGGAGCCCCAAGTGGACCCCTCCCGGCCCCCAGATCAGGTGGAATAGGGCATCTCCCAAGGGTCCTGAAAGTAGAAACAGCCAAAAGCAAGCCAGTAGTGATAACAGAGACCAGACTAAGTGATTTTGCTGAGAGGCCGTGTACAGTGAGTGCCCTGCTGACTTTGTAGAAAATTTTGGTTTAAGCCAGAAGTGGCGGTGCATGCCTGTAATCTCAGCACTTCGGAGAAGGCCGAGACAGGAGGATCGCTTTGAGTTGAAAGGCAGCCTGGACTATATAGTGAGATCCTGCCTGGAAAGGGAAGGGAAGGAAAGGGAACGGGGGAGAGGAGAGGAGAAGAGAGGAGAGGAGAGGCTAAACTCTGAGGAACAGAAATGGACTTGAAGCCACACCCCTGCCCTCTACTTCCTGACTGGGGACCCTAAGCAAGTGACTTAATGTCTCAGTTTCTTAATGGATAATGCCAGGCTGTCAACAGAGCTGCTGTGAGTGCTACCTAAGCTTCAAGTTGGCTGCTAGACCCGGTCTCAGACATAGGTCTGCAAGAGAAGAAACTAGAACATACCTCAAAATCTCCCTGCCTAGCTGGCTCTCGGGTGAGACTGAATTTGGTTTGAGTTGGGTTGTATTTCCACTTTATACAAGAAATATACATACATAATTAAAATTATACTCAGAGAAATAAACAAAACCACAGGGACTGTAGTTGGACCCCAGAGGGATGACTGTGTCCACGGGGCAGTGGGATGGAAGAATGGCCACCTGCGTTGGAAAGTCAGACAGGGACAGCCCAGGGACAGGTCTCAGCGCAAGAGCGTCAGCCCTGAGACCTTGAGGACAGACCCTGGGGTCTGACTTTCTGTCTGGGTGTGTCCTAGTATTCCTGGGAAGCAGTCTCCACGCACCTACTCAGGAGATACCAGGCAGGAAAAGACAGTACAGTCAGGAACGCTGCCTGTTCATGGGCAGTAGTACCTCTCCCCTGACTGTTCTCAGCTCCAAGTCCTCTGAACATTGACTCAGGGGGACCTGGACCTTCAGGCCAGAGCCCCCTCCAAGACTCTCCCTTTGAAAAACCTGCCTGGACTGCTCAGCCCTCTGTCCAGCCAGCAGCCTGTTTAGGCTCAGCCACACCATTCCCCCAGCCCCCTCCTCCCTCCACCCCCACCAGCCTTCGCTGAGGCAGCCCTTTCAGGAGAGCTGGGCTTGGTGGATGCACAGCATTCTCCCTGTCGGTGATGTTAATCCTCCAAAGAAAGTCAAACATTAGCCCAGGAAACAGCCTATGCCTTATATAAGGCCCTCCTGGGGGGAGACACAAACAGCTTGTTAGAGCTGAGCTGTCCTACCACAGCAGCTGCCGGACCCTAGGACAGAGCACCAGCCTCAGCTAAATCCACCTCCAGTCCCACCGGATCCAGTCCCAGCCACCAGGTGAGAAGGGATTGAGGGCCCCTAAGCCTAGCACCCAAGAACACCCCAAAGCCAGGCCCTACTTCCTTACTGTGACTGGTCAAGCCCCTAGCACCATCAGGGACCTGCTTGGACTCCAGCACAAGAGGCCCAGCTCTAGGAAGTAGCCAAAAGCAAGGAGCCTTTGATTCTGGGGTGGTCCTTCCTAGCCCACATGGAACAACCAAGGACCTATGTTATCTACCCCCTCATCTACTTCCATCCTGTACAGCCAATATCCAAGACTGAACCCCCCCCCAACTTGGTCCCTGCTATATGACCTGCCAACCCCATGCTTGCAGGCTTTATGGCTAGCCTTGCTAAGTATATACATATACCCACAGTGCACACATACAACATACAGGCACAGAGCCACACACCTGTATTCACACAGCAGTGCCTTCATGCTGTAGCTTAAATGCACATATACCTGTAGCTCCTCTGTACTCACACAGATAGACATACATCCCTATCTGGTAGTCTACATCTGTCCATGCAGCTGACTATATCCTTGTGCATCCACATACCCGAGCACCCCACATCTTTTCACATAGTGTCCTGACACACACATGCGGTTCTGCAGTACTCCAAATATCACACATATGCACACATACACATAGAAACACACACACACCTCTCCTTGGCCTTGTGTCTTGCCTACAGTTCTGGTTCATCTTGCCTGGTGCCATGACCTTCTCCGAGATTCTGGACCGTGTGGGCAGCATGGGCCCCTTCCAATACCTGCATGTGACCTTGCTGGCCCTCCCAATCTTCGGCATGGCCAACCACAACCTGCTGCAGATCTTCACAGCCACCACCCCTGTCCACTACTGTCGCCCACCCCCCAATGCCTCTGTAGGGCCCTGGGTGCTCCCCTTGGGCCCGAATGGGAAGCCAGAGAAGTGCCTCCGTTTCGTGCTTCCACCCAATGCCAGTCTGCCCAACGACACCAAAGCAGCCACCGAGCCGTGCCTGGATGGCTGGGTCTACAACAGCACCAGAGACACCATTGTGACTGAGGTATGTCTGGCTCCCCTTCTCCCTCTACTTACCTCAGGCACTCCCAAGTACCCTGCTCACTCATGGACAGACAGAAAAGGAAGCAGGGGCCCTAGGCTTCCTGGGATTGGAGGACAGGGGACTAAGCAAGAGGAAAGATCCCTATGCCAATACACAGCAGCCAAGTGGCTTGGTTTCTTCATGCTCAGAGTTCAAGCATTTCTTCAGAAGTTATGTGGTGGGGGGGAATTGTTCCATGGTTGGCACAGCTCTGAGCTCTGGGGATTCAAAATTATCCAGTTCCTGTTCCTGATAGGGGTACAGGCTAGTAGGGTAACACCAATGAATAGGAACACCACACGTAGAAGTATGGAGTTGCATCTCCATGCTGTGCTGCAACCTTGGGGTGTGGCCTCCCCTTGGGCTGGGTGTAGGGGCAGGAGAGGGGTGGACATTGGAAGATGCCTCCCTAAAGAAGTAGCCCTGGACCTAGTCAGGCAAGGGTTAACCAGGCAAGGGGGTAAAAGAGGAAAATTCCATTTGTGCAAAGGTCTCAGGGTGGGAGGGATTTCATGGAGTGGAGGTTGGTGCACTCCTAAGCAGACCCCGAAGGCATCTCAGCCATCCACACAGGCCTTTATGGCCTCACTTTCCATTCACCTTTCTTGGATTTGTTGACTCCCTCACCTGTCATTTCCAGGAGCTAGAGTTAAATCTGATTCTTCAAAGAATTTATAGGCCAATCAGGAGACTCAAATAGGAGGAAGATGAGGAGACAGGAATTGGTGTTTATTGAACGTCTACCAGCTGCCAAGCACTTCTGTTGAGGGTCAGGCACTAAGACTCAGGGAAAAGAAGTGATTGTTCAGTGCCACACAGATGGACAGATGGTCAGTTTTTGCTGGAATTGAAAGCAAAAGCCCCTAGGTACAGAGTTCAAAAGTGGGCTAAGCTGTAGGGTTCCAGGGAAGCTTTATGAAGGAGCACCTGAGCAGAGATGGTGTCAGGACCCAGATATCGCGTCACCACGAGACCTTTGCTTTGCAAAGATATTCCTCAGTTGTCACCCCACTGGAATCCCAGGGAAGGTCTCTTTATCCTCATTTCACAGATGAGGAAATGGAGGCCCAGCCCTAACATTCCTCCATGGGCAGAGGTAGGATTTGAATCTAAGACCATCTACACTCAACCTATAAACACAGTTCATGTGCTTAACAAATATTTGCTCATGTAGCGAGCAATTGTTATGTGCCAGTCACTGTTCTAAATGCCTTGCAGATATTAACACTTTCCATCTTCTTGACTACTATGTGGTAATTAGTATTCGGATCCCACCTTTCAGATGGGGAAACTGAAGCCCAGAGAGGCTATTAGCTTGCTTGTGGTCATACTATGAGTAAGTGACAGGTTCAGGACCTGAACCCAGGCACCGGACACCAGAGCTGTGCTCCTAACTGGCATGTTTGCTACTCTCCTGTCCCCTAGACCAGACTTCCTTCCTGTCGCGTTCTTTTTCCTCTCCTGAATCAGTCATATAGCCCAGAAAGCATCTAGTGTCAAAAATGTTAAGTACATTGGTAGTATGGTGCATCATGCTGAGGCCACAGAGTCAACGATCACATTAGCCCTGCAAGTGTTCACCTCCAGACAGGACACAGACCCACCCCTCCTAGAGCTCCAGTAGGTTAGTGAGATCTGCACGCTTCCTGAGGCAGGAATTTCCAGCTGCTTTGTCACTGCTGTGTCTGCGGCACCTGGAATAATGCCTGGCACAGAGGAGGGGCTCTGGAGAATAAATATTTGTGGAAAGAATGAACATGTGCTCCGTAAACTTCGAGTGTCCTAGAAACTCAAAGGAGAGGTTTCTAACCAGCACGGGGTGAGGGAAGTTGGGGTTAGGAGGTCCTGGAGGGCTTGCTGGAGTCAGCCATCCCTGCCCTGAGTACGAGGAAGGGAGAGGTAGGGAGTGAGCGAAGTGGGCAAGAACACCCAGACACAAGGCTCAGTATGTCAAATGCAAAGTCACAGATGTGTGAAGACTGTGGAATAGACCAGGAAAGAGCAGGGAGATGTAGAGAAATACTGGGCACGGGACTGGGAAGGACAGCAGCCTGCCATGGTCATTAAAACAAAAGTATGGCCTCTGTAACAAGGGCGGTGAGGAGCCATTGGCTGTAGTAGTCTTTAAACAGGAGAGTGTTGGACCCAAATCACCTTCCAAGATCCTCTCTGACTATGGCATGAGGAGGAGCTTGTTGGAAGAGTTTTAGTCTCTCAGCAGGATAAGGGTAGCAAGTTTACAGGATCCCAGACCAGAAGTGACAGATAGATGAAAAGGTGGGTTTAGACACTGGAGTGCTTAGGGAATTGGCATCTGTGGGAGTTGGTAACTGAGCAGACGTGGGAGGTGAGGAGCAGGTAGGAAATCAAAGATATGCCTGTAAGTTTCCCAATGTGTAAGTGACTTGCTATGCATCTGGGATGACAAAAAGAAAGAATAAAAGCCACCCTCTGTGACCTCTAGAAACATAGTCCCTAAGAAATGAAAAGCCTACAGGTAAAACTAGGCATGGTAGCACACTCCCACAATCCCAGCCCTCAAGAAGCTGAGGCAAGAGTTCCAGGCCAGTGTAGATGATAAACTTCCAAGCCAGCCCGAGGACTACAGCAAGATCCTGTTCAAAATAAAGAGAGGAGAAAGAGAGAGAGAGAGAGAGAGAGAGAGAGAGAGAGAGAGAATGTTAAAGAATGAAGAGGAGAGGAACAGAGGGACAGAAAGAGAGAGGGAAGGGGGAAGGGAGGGAGGGAGGGAGGAAAGGCAGGCCCTGCAGGGAACAATGAGATAAAATCATTACTAACATGGTGTGAGTTCGCAGGTGCCAGATGGGTATAAACACCACATGTTTGAGTTCATTTAATCCTCACAATACTCTAAGTTAAGCGTCTTGATTATCCTGTTTGCATGGATGAGGACACTGAGGGAGAGGCTACTAACCAAGATACCACACTCGCAAATGTGAAGTAGAGAGTCAATCCTCTGGGGTAGGGTTCCATAGCCCATGCTCCTTAAGGCTTCACAGACCCCAACATACAATCCATGAGACTGAGGGAGCTGCGTGGAATGGACTGTCCATAGATGAGCCTTCCCCTCACAGGAGCTCCTCCAGGACAAGGACAGTATCTCCCATCCATATCTGTCATCACAGGACTAAAAGTGCAGTAAGTGTTCAATTAATGCTGAATGCAGGACGTGCTCTCCCTGCATCCCCAGAGACACTGCTGACCACTGGGAAGCAGTTCCCTTTCCAGGTCGCTCCTCAAGTGGGCTCCCAGGAACCATGGCAAGAACAAAGCTTTCAGGCCTCGTACTCAGTCAAGCGTCAGTTCATCCCCATACCAGCCAAGTTTCCAGTCAGGATCCCATTCATTGAGACGATGTGAATTTGTAAGATGCAGGAGATCAGCCATCCTCCGAGGCCTGCGCACTCCTCCACATCCTCCTAATTCCCTGGGGACTCTGCTATGACAACCCACAGGAAGGGTCCCTGACCTCCACAATCACTGGAACACTGATGGCCCAATCCACTCAGAAGAGCAAACGCAGGACATACTGATCTCTCTCTCTCTCTCTCTCTCTCTCTCTCTCTCTCTCTCTGTGTGTGTGTGTGTGTGTGTGTGTGTGTGTGTGTGTGTGTTCAGCCATGGCAAATACAGGCTCCATCTATTGGGGGGTCGGGGGTCGGGGGTAGAATGGATTTCTATCTCCCAAGTGATGGAGGTGGAACAGCGTTGGGCCTTACCTAGGGGTGGGTCTCTAACTCAGAGGCAGAGGATTGGATGTGCCAACTCTAGGAAGGAAGACAGAAATATTTAACAACAAACTCAGTGCAGATGACCTTGGTAAACAGAGGCAAGGGTCAGATCTCCAGACTATAGTGGAGGATCATGAACTAGAGTCAGAGTTCACATCCTGACTCTGCCGTTTACTAGCAGTTCACAGCCCTCAGAAGTTTCCGTTTCCTCATTCTGTTCCTGTTTGCTGCTGTTGGATGATGATGATGATGATGATGATGATGATGATGATGTCAGGTGTATCTAAGAACCAGAGTAGGAGAATCCTTCAGTCAAAATGGAGGTTGACTGTCTCAGCCCTTCCCAGCTCACCTGGACTCCCAGACTTTGCTTTCTCTATGCCACCCATCTAACCCCCTCTAGGGGGTTATGCCACCCCTCCTCTTCAGCCTCTGTCCCTCAGTCCCCTGCTGAATGGGCTGAGCAGACTGAGCTGATAGAGAGGCTGAGGCCCAACACAGGTTGGGGGAGTGGAGGCAATCTTCCCTTCCTCCTTTTGCTCCCCTAAGCTTTCCTGGCAGAGGTTAAATTCCTTTCCCTTGGTGCAGCAGAGAAGAGATCAGGACTTTTCAGAAAGAGCTTTAACTAGGCCATTAAAAGGAAACAAAGACTTTTATGTCTGGAGAGCATGGGAGCCTGGATTAGCTAGGCCCTAGTTTCCCTGGGAAGGGGTACAGCTCACAGCCACACTGAGGCGCAGCCCCATAGCTCTTGGGGCCTAGGCTTGGTTTTTTTGTTCTTTTTGAGACAGGGTCTCCCTGTAGCCCCAGCTGTCCTGGAACTCACTATGTAGACCAGGCTGGCCTTGAACTCACAGAGATCCGCCTGCCTCTGCCTCCGAGTGCTGGGATTAAAGGCGTGTGCCACCATGCCCGGCTAGGCTTGGTTTTTGCAAAAGCACAGTGCACCCTTATAAGACCTCTGGGCTTTCTACCTCTGGGCCTTGTGACTTCTGGTCCTGTCTCCAGAGCCATAAGAAGCCAGTCTTCCACACGTATGAATCTGGAGAGACATGCAAGCTAGAGAAGCAAGGAGCTGACCAAGGGGAGAGGCTCTCCACCCTGGGGATGACTCCTGCAGAGTCCCTGGCCAGCCACCACTGACCTCCCCCCCATTCTCATCACCAAATCCCAGGCTACCTAGAATCAGGGCACTTAGCCGTGGCTCATCTCCAGCCCCGTTCCTGCCTTGCACCCTCACTGGCTGCCCTCAGCTTCAGGTATTCCCTCCGACTTCCTCTTTCCCTACCTCCAATCTAACTCTGTAGTAAGGACTTGGGAGCTCCACCCTGGCCACCTTTCTGGTCAGCCTGACCTCAGTGACAGCCATGACATAGAAAGCTCCTGATCATGTGCACAGCAGGGACCTAGGGTCATTCTATGCACTCCCCAAGTTCAAGAGCTCACTCAGTGGCACCTACTGTGTGCAGGAGCCTGAGCTACTGTTTCACATTCCTGTTGTAAGCTTACAAATCAGGCACTATCCTTACCATTCTACAGAGGATGACACTGGGTTCAGAAGGGATCCTTCCCAACTGTGATGGTGACCCTGACTCCAGAAACATACCCTATCTACTGTATCACATGTCCCTTTGGGCCTCACTGTGACAATAACAATACAATGGCTACTGTGAACTGAGTGCCCAGGATCTTCCAGGTATAGGGTTGAATACTTTTCATTCCCTTCATCATTTACAACTCTGAGAAGTAGGTACCAGGTACCAACAGGTACAGATGAGGAGTCCAAACCACAGAAAGGTTAAGTATCCTCGGGGCAAACCTAGCACCCACATAAGAAATCTAGAACCAGCAGCTCAGGTTTCTAATCCCAGCACTGGAGAAGCAGAGACGGGATCCCTAAGGCTTTCTGGCCAGCCAGTCTAGATGAATTGGCAAGCTTCAGGTTCTTTGAAAGACCATGTCTCAAAAAATAAAAGGGAAGGGGCTGGAGAGATGGCTCAGTGATTAAGAGCACTAGCTGCTCACTGACCCAGGCTCAGTTTCCAGCACCCACATAGTGGCTAACAACCATCCATGACTGTAGCTCCAAGGGATCCAACACTTTCTTCTGGCCTCCGGGGGCATTACATGCACATGGTACAGTTACTGACATGCAGCCAAAACACTCATGCATATAAATTACAAATAAATAAATCAGCTTTTTGTGGGGGAAAAAGGTAGAAAGCAATTGAGGAAGACATCTGATGTTGACCTCAGTCCTTCAATGTGTGTGCACATACATACACATATACACACAAACATGTACACCCATGCGCGTGCACACACACACACACACACACACACACACACACACACTATCTGTCCCAGAACATACAACTCCTAAACAATAGATTTGGAGATTCATGTCCTTTTGATGCTCCCCAAGCTGGCTCGTCCTCCTAAATCCTCATACTCCCAAATGGTCTGAGAATGCACGGGGCAGAAACAATATTCCCTAAAGTTCAACCTAAGGCTCCAAAAGGCCTCCAACAGGCTAGCTGTTTTGTTTCCCTCACAATAGTGGGTAGGGGCATTGAGTGAAATCTTGGTAGAGTCAGCTTTCCCTACATCCTGCTCATCATGGTCTGCATCATAAATGCCTTGTCCTGACCATCTGTCACCCACTGTGTCTGCCTTACCCTCCAAGGGGCCTCCTGGCCACTCTTCTTGCTGCTGCCCTAGGTCCTAAGCCTATCTCTTTGACCCTTGACTGGCCCAGTGGGTTCTGACCTTGACACAATTCCATACTGAGGTATGCTGTCATACAATGACTCAGAAAACAGCAGCTCCTGTATTTAAGCCTTCTTCTGGTAGTCCAAGACTCAGAGCACAGCACACAGTGGAGCATCTGGGAGTTGTGGTCCTGGTCAAGGACACTGGATGGGGATCCTGGAGACCTGAGCTTGAGTCATTTCCTTGAAATGAACCAAGCTATGCTTGAGCAAGTCATTTATCCTCTGAGCCTTGGGTTCTATGTAAAAATGGAGACCATAATAGCATCTACTTTGTAATGTTATTATGACATTACTTGCCAACCTTCCTCCTGAGCATAATGACCCTTCTCTTCCTTTCTTAACGCCTTCGTAGTGCATCAGCCCATACAGGAAGACAAGGGAGTGAACTTTCTATCCTTTTCTTCCAGAACCATCTCCTTGGGGCTTAGTTATACTTCAAGAAAGGAAAAAGAAGGCCAATACAGGACTAGGATTTGGGGAGCAAGAAGCCTATGTAGAATTGCCAAAGACTGATGGGAAACAAAAGCCTAGGCCATCCCCAGGGTGAGAGAGAAGCATCAGGATGCTAATGTCTGACTTTCTTCAATGAGCATGCTGCCCTTCCCTCTCTGTGCCTCATCAGTAAAAATATGTATAATAGCACAGCCCTGATTATTCATTAATTATTCATTAAACAAATATTAACATTTACTATTACCAACTACTCTGATAGTTGCCAGGGATAAAAAGTCAAATGAGATGCCCTCTGTCCTCAGCAAGGTTACAGAATACAGAGAGGAAAACAAGTAAATAAACAGCTAGGAAAGCTATGTAATATGCACCCCACTGGCAGTAAAAACACGATGCTGGAGGAGATGAGGGATACCTTACCTACATTGGGAGTCAAGACAGGCTTCTCAGACACTCATTCACTTTACAAATATTTATCGATCACCTACCTGCTGGTGCCAGGCACCAAGAAAAGAAGTTCTTGAGACTCAGAAAAGATGACCAAAGGACTGACAACATTACTGAGTAAGGGGATCCTAACAGCAAACAGAATCATAAGCTTTTGTAGAATCAGAGTAGAACATGACTAGATCCAAGGACCACGCCAAGTCACAGTCAAAGGAAGCACAGACCACACACTCTTGCCATCTTGCCTAAGAGTCAAGCTGTCTGCTGCAGGTTTTCTTAACAGGGCCTTCTTAGGGATTTTGTACAGGGAATCTCACAGAAAACATGCCAGAATCGTCTCTAAAAGTTTCCTCTCAGGAAACTCAGGATGCCTTTGAAAACGCCTCCCCTTTGCTCTGCACCTGCGCCCCTCATCTCAATGCATCGTCTATTCTCCGTCCTTTTCCCAACACCACCTGTCAGGTCAACAGACCTTCATACACATTGCAGGACCATGCAGTGAATTCATTTCCAACAAAGTTCCCCAAATTGGATGCCTAAAAACAACACAGATTTGACTGTCTTGCAGATTTGGAGAAACAGAGTTGGTATGTTCTCCACAAAGGTTCCACAAAGAATTCTCCTTGGCTCTTCCGGTTTCCGGTGGTTGCTGGCAATCCTTGGCGTTGCTTGGCTCACGGATGCACCAGTTCAGCCTCTGCCTCCATCATAACACACCATCTTCTCTCCTCTCTTCCTACAAGGTCGGACCCTGCTCCAGCATGACCTCACTTTAACTCAGCTAATTGTATCTTAGCAAACATATGTCCATTCTAGGGTCTAGAGGTCACATTCTGATGGTTAGACTGTAATGTCTTTTGTCAAGGGCTACAATTCAACCCAGAATGACCGCATGACTCAGACCCAGCAGCTATCAATTTCCAATCATTCCTCAACTAGGGGGTAGGGCACCATGCCTACCTCCCCTCCCCATGCTGGGACTTTGGCTTGAGCTCGCACAGATCTTGTGCATGCTGTCACGACAGCTGTGAGTTCACGTGTGTAGCTGTTTCAGCGGAGTCATCCACTGCCTCTGGCTCCTACAGTCTTTCTAACCCTCTTCTACAGTGATCCCTGTGCCTTGAGAGGAGGAGGTATGATACAGATGTCCTGATTAGGACTGAGCAGTCCACAGCCTCTTATTCCCTGCAACTTTGATCAGTTGTAGGTCTCTGCATTAATCACCATCTACTGCTGAAAGAAGCTTCTCTGATGAGGGTTGAGATGTGCTAATCCATGGATATAATGATGTCATTAGGGACTGGTTTAATACTATGTCCATTTGGTAGAGTGCTAGTAGGAGGTTTTCTCCTAGTGCCTACAACCTATCTAGTCACAGGTTCTTGGCCCTGATGATGGAGCCAGGTATGGGTTTCATCTTGTGGTCTTAAATGCAATCAGAAACTGGTTGGTTAGACCTTTGATTTGTTTGGGTTGTTTTGGTTTGGTTTGGTTTGATTTCGTTTGGTTTGGTTTTTGGTCTTTTTGAGGCAAGGTCTTCCTATAGCCCCAGCTTGCCTGGAACTCATTATGTGGAGCAGGCTAGACTTGAACCCACAGAGATATACCTGCCTCTGCCTCCCCACAGCTGGGATTAAAGGCATGCACCACCACACCTGGATAGACCTTTGGTTTCTTAAGGAATTAAATAACTTCTTGTGGGTATATCAGGACACGTGTTGCTCTAAGAAAACAGCGAAGAGTAATTCATGGCTTAACTGTTAACAATACAAAGGGTTTCTTTTGTAAACGTTGTGAAGTAGCATTCCAGACTGATGGTTTATCTCCTCGACACTCTCTCAGGTCCCAGACTGACAGTAACTCTGCCTCCCTCAATACCTGATGTATGGAGTTGTTCCAGTTGTTACCACTCCTACCCTAAGAGAGAAGAAAGCATGCAGCCCAGGCCAGGGATTTCTTCTTAAGCAAGCGAGGTGAAGCAGCACATGTATCTTCTTCTACTCTTATCAAAACAAGGCTCTGCACAGCTCCCATGTCACCCAGGTGGTGTGTTGTTTACTGTGGGGGAAGGATATGAATGGGCTTGTGTGTATATATAATAGGTCTTTCCTCTAGATTTTTCTGAAAAGCTTTACACAACAGGCCGTAAAGTACCAAGAGTTTCTCTAGACAACCCTGTCATTCTTCTCCTCCTATATCCCCACTTCCTCCTTTAAGCTTTTCCCACCTCTGCCCCCACCTCTTCTGGTT